AGTCTTCATTAATTGCTAAAATGTGATTTGGTCATATGCTCAGAAAACCAATGACCTGGGCAGCATGGAATCTTGTGGACAGACTTTCAGTTCATGTATGAGATCCTGACAATGCAGTGTAGAAAATGAGCTGACGAGGAAGTAGTCACAGAGTTCCTCTCCCAAGATGTAATCAAAAGTTGCCAATGGACACATCTAATTCTGTATTTAATTCTGGAAGACTCTAAATCAGTGGATCTTAAGCTTTTTGGACCACAGCCCAACCCACTCAATGCAAGTCTTTCCACCTGTAAGGCTACCTCCCCTCCCTCCGCCCCCAAGCAGGAAGCGGGAGTTGGGGCTCCAAATTTGCGGGGGGCTGGAGAGTCAGTACAGGCTCCCAACTCCGCAGGTCGAAAACAAGTCCTGAGCCTGCATCCCACCTGCAACACAGTCACAGATCACACCAAGAATCATTGCTCTAAATAGATGCTGAATGTTTAGCTAATAAGAATCTATCCCTCTCCATCCTCTTACCAAAGCAGTTTTAGCATATAAAGTTTATATATTTTTTTTAAATCTCATGCCATATTTAACTGCTTTGAGTATAAAATGTCTGTACAAACTGACAACAGTTATTTGTCATGTTGCAATTATTTGAGGCACAACAGAAGTAGTATTACTAACTCCTGAGAACAAAGAGATAGCAAATAAAAATACTGCTTCAATTTAAGTATTCAAACTCTCAATTTAGCTTTTTATTAAGTTAATTGTTTTAACTATTGTGGTTTGATAAAAGAGACTTAACAACAAGGAGAAGAGAGAAAAACTATTCTCCTTGCCTCTGATGATAGGACAAGAAGCAATGGACTTAAATTGCAGCAAGGGAGATTTAAGCTTCCTAATTGTCAGGGTGGTTAAATGTCATGGGGGCAGGGAACTGGACTTGACCTCTCAAGGTCCCTTCCAGTTCTAGGATTCTATGGTTCTAGCAAATTTAAGGAGAACAGCAGATCACCCAAGCTTATCCTGCAGGCACAGAAATATAGGCAGTAATATGGTTGGTCACTTAGATGGCATCAGCTCTCTCAGTCATTTTATGCGAAGGAAGAGTGGTGGGTGAATTCTAAGAAAGTTCTGCATATAAAAGTGTTTATGTTAAAAATACTTGAGTATTAACAGTTATGTTAACCTATTTAGAGAAGCCCTGGAAGAATTTGCATTTAACCTAACACAGTGGTACTTGAGCAGCAAAGTACAGATTACATTCTTGAATTGAGGTGGCAAGAAGAGAAGATCAATGTGGGCATTTTCTACAAAGATGAGAGAATACTACAGAAGTGGTGGCTCTAGAATGAGTGTAGAGATTCATGGTACTTAATTGGCCTTTGGCGGCTACCAGGTGCGAGAAAGGCAGACTCACTAATGCAAAGATGCCTATACATAAACTAGTTCCAGCAGTGAAAAGATGCCTGCGCTCTAGTGGAATGAGCTATCACATTCAGTGGCAGCAGGACTTTTGCCAGCTCATAACAGCTCCTTATGCAAGAGGTGAGCCAGCTGGCAATCTTCTGTGAGGAAACCGGAAGAACCATCCTCCTATCTGCTGTAACAATGAAGTTCTACAGCTTTCAAATTTTGCACACAATGCAACGAGAAGATACTTTGAGTGGCAAGTTCTATGCTAAACTGTACATAAAAAGTGCACTACACAAAGCAACTCTTCAAATTCTCATCTGCATTGTGAAGAATAATGATGTCACACATTTATCTCCTAATGTGGGATTATAGCGATGTCTAAAACAGAACAGCTGCTAGTTTATCAACATAATGATTTTACAGAATTCCACTCAAACTATGTGACCAGTAGCTCCTTAAAATAATTAGAATAAAGATTAAGTGTTATAAGGTACTCAATTTTAAAATCGTTGCTGTTTTCTCTGCCAAGGAAACTAGAAGGCCCATATTGACCTTAAAATCTTTAGCTAAAGTTAGGAGCCATGGTTCATTACTTAGAGAAGAGACCCCCTGAGATCACCTCCATTGGGAGGCTCGTCCTTGCATTCTCCAACTATGGAGTAGGCTTCCCAATGGAGACCCAGGAATGTGTTAAGTGAGGTGCAAGCTGTGTGCTTTTTTTTCTTTTTTAAATGAAGAACTGTGGCTGAGACTCATGCAGGAGGCCCGGGCACACCCAACAGACAGGACTGAAGGAGCACCTGGAACCTGCCACCCAGGTATGGGTTCTACCCTCCCACCCACAATCGCTCACCTTCCCCCACACTACCAATCCATCCCTTAGAAGTGGCAGGACTCCAGAAGTGGCAGTGGCATAGAGGATGGCAATGGGATGCTAGGTAAGCTGCAAAAAGTAAAACAAGTTGAACCTCCTAAATCCAAGATTCCCTGGTCCAGGAACATCTGTAGTCCAGCTGGGAGTACTAACTGGCTGGGAGCCCCAACCCAGGTCAGTCCTGGCTGGCTGGGGCAGCAGTGGGGCAACCATCCCCAAGGAGCCCCAGACAGGCAGGGCAGCAGTGGGGCAGCCAGCG